TTGTCTTTTGTTTCCCCGTATATTCTTTCATATTTTTTTTACTGATATTAGACAGCAGTCTATTAAGCTGTACAGAGTATTTTTTAAAAATTTTTTTTAATTTTCAGTACTTCAGTAACTCACCGTTTGGTCCTTTTTTTGTGTTCCTTCTTGAAGCTGAGACTGGGATCCACATGCTAAAAAATGACGGTCTCTCTTTCAGCATAAATAACTAGCTGTACTTTCCTGTATGCTTTTGTATAGTTAAAAAAGACAGATTATATTGTATTATTTACCTGCTTTTTGTCACTTTCAGAATCAGGGCAAAAAAAGAAATAATTAATAGACATCATAAATTTACACATCTGTATTAGCATTATGTAAACAATGCCAATATAATTAAAATGGAGATAATAATTATTGTATAAAGTTTCAATCCTTTGTTGAAGGTATTATTACATGAAACATTTCCCCTATTGTTTAGTAACAGGTTGAACTGGATGTTTCACAGCAGGTGGCAATAGGTGCGCTTCACGCACAGAATGTTAAGGGATTGAATTCTGTGATATGCAAAATTATGTCACTGTTTCTGGTATGTTATAAAGTAATCCATAAAAAAAGTAGAACCAGTATATCATTGGTGACATGTAACACGCTTGAGACCCAGTGGTGATTATTTCAGAAACATATTTAGAATAATTCGATTTTTTATTTAATATTTTATTGGTGACATCAATGATCACATTAATTATCTTGGCGCCATAACGAAATAGGTAAAATTTGCTGATAGTTACCATATTGGCGTTAATCAGAATCCGGCACTTGTTTTCTTTTGAAAATGTTGAATGAACCTTGACCAGTATTGTGTGTTTATTTTCAAAACTGTTGGTAATGCCTCCAAACCTACAAATTGCTATCAACCCAAACTGTGCTCAATCTTTTTTATCATTAATATTACTATCTTCAGATGGATATGCAGAAATCGCATACACTGGTTGAAGAAACGAATATTAGCGTAACAATGCTTTTTTGTATTTATTTAAGCTAATTCATAGAGTGTAAGCTCACTTGAGCAGGGCCTTCTTTACCCCTAAATATCTAATTTATATAATAGTAAAGCACTGTGGTATATGTTGGCACTATATGCATGCAAATAATTAATTAATTAAACATTACACATTTTGTAAGTTTTCTGATTTTGTTTCCGAAAGTGTTCTCAGTGATTTGGCAAGTCCTTTTGGCTGTTGATTTGTGATAAGGGAAGAATGGCTCTGTGTCTCTCTTATCCGGAGAGATTTTGATCACTTAAGGACAACTGTCATCTCAAAAGTACATGTTAATAAAGTAATCCTTTCATCAAGTTTTGAAAGGAAATAGATTGTTTTAATATGAATTATATGTGCAGTTTGAAAAACTCATCCCTATGTGCATATGGATCCTTCAGCCACATGCATGCACTCTGCTTCACTCCCTACACAGAAGAAGGGAAGACCAGAGAGATAATTGTCCGTTTTCAAACACTCACTGACCCAAGGTGCATGAATATGGCGGAAGGATCCTGCCATTTACTAAAGGTGGGGATATGTTTTTCTCATTTTGTTTTTCTGATATGCTTCGTTCAAAAAAAATGTATTTCCTTTCAAAACTCGATGAAAGGATTATACGAAAAATAGTTTTGATGTTGAGACACTTATTCAAATTTGATGACTTGAAGAGGTGTCCTTTAATCATAATGTATGGTATATGCTCTTTTTTTGCCAAATACCATCTGAAAGATTTGATTACATTAATATTAAAGGGACACTCTAAACAATATGAAACAAGGGGGGTTGGCTGCACTCACCTGAACATGCATAAATGGGGGTGCTGCTGGGGGCCAAATAATACAAAACACAAGATCCAGCGCACTCACCTATCCACTAAACAGCAACTTCAAAGTTGAAAGATTTTATTAGTTTTTTTAAAAACACCTAATCTAGGCAAAAATAATGGGGGTTTAGTTACATTATATGATCATACATTGCATAAGCCTGCCACAACGTCAATGTACCCCATCTTTGGCAGGTCCTACACTAACAGCCTAATGTCTGCTCTTATGAGATTAACCTACTTGGGGAAAAAAATTCCATCTGGGGCTCTCTGCAGTACAAGGCTAAATAGGGCCCTGGGATGAGGCACCTGTGACAGGGAGGGGTGCAAAACCAAGGAGTTGGCTAGACTCCCAAATATATATATATATGAAACAAGGGGGGGTTGGCTGCACTCACCTGAACATGCATAAATGGGGGTGCTGCTGGGGGCCAAATAATACAAAACACAAGATCCAGCGCACTCACCTATCCACTAAACAGCAACTTCAATGTTGAAAGATTTTATTAGTTTTTTTAAAAACACCTAATCTAGGCAAAAATAATGGGGGTTTAGTTACATTATATGATCATACATTGCATAAGCCTGCCACAACGTCAATGTACCCCATCTTTGGCAGGTCCTACACTAACAGCCTAATGTCTGCTCTTATGAGATTAACCACTTACTTGAGGAAAAAAAATCCATCTGGGGCTCTCTGCAGTACAAGGCTAAATAGGGCCCTTGGATGAGGCACTTGTGACAGGGAGGGGTGCAAAACCAAGGAGTTGGCTAGACTCCCAAATATATACATATGAAACAAGGGGGGTTGGCTGCACTCACCTGAACATGCATAAATGGGGGTGCTGCTGGGGGCCAAATAATACAAAACACAAGATCCAGCGCACTCACCTATCCACTAAACAGCAACTTCAAAGTTGAAAGATTTTATTAGTTTTTTTAAAAACACCTAATCTAGGCAAAAATAATGGGGGTTTAGTTACATTATATGATCATACATTGCATAAGCCTGCCACAACGTCAATGTACCCCATCTTTGGCAGGTCCTACACTAACAGCCTAATGTCTGCTCTTATGAGATTAACCACTTACTTGAGGAAAAAAATTCCATCTGGGGCTCTCTGCAGTACAAGGCTAAATAGGGCCCTGGGATGAGGCACCTGTGACAGGGAGGGGTGCAAAACCAAGGAGTTGGCTAGACTCCCAAATATATACATATGAAACAAGGGGGGTTGGCTGCACTCACCTGAACATGCATAAATGGGGGTGCTGCTGGGGGCCAAATAATACAAAACACAAGATCCAGCGCACTCACCTATCCACTAAACAGCAACTTCAAAGTTGAAAGATTTTATTAGTTTTTTTAAAAACACCTAATCTAGGCAAAAATAATGGGGGTTTAGTTACATTATATGATCATACATTGCATAAACTCTAAACAATATAACTACCGTATATTATCTCTTTTTTTGTGGGTGGGGTTGTGCAGCTGCAGTAGTGAGAGTTAAGAGGCATCAAGTGAAGCACAAGTGAATGGTTGCAACAGCAAGCAACAGCCTTCGACTGGGTCTTTTTGGCCATGTGCACCAGGGTCTGCACTCTCTTTGACTATAATTTTTTTTTCAAAAATGTGTTGCTCTGCTATTCATATTTTTGCTTAATAGCATATACTCCTCTTGCACTGTCCCCCTATTCAGTGTTAAACCATTTTCAAGCAGTTTAACAATGAATGTGGGTCCTTAGCCACCTACAGCTCAACCCTCTTTGGAGTTATGCTAAGGCAGAGATTACAGTTTTCATTAGCCATACAAATTCATACTGGCAATGAGTGTCAGTGACAGACTGAATGTTGTCAGCTAACAATCTCAGCCTACTACTGCTCAGGTAATGATTTCTCATTAACAGGGCAGAGGAAATGGGTTGCAGCCAGGGTACTCTTGTTTAGAATTAAATCTTTAAAAATGATTTAACAGTGCACGGAAGGACAGCACCAGGGGACTCCAGACACTGTAACCACTTCAATTAGATGAAGCAGAGCAATTGAGTCCATTGTTTATGTTTATGTGAGTTTTTTGCATGATACATTAATAATGAAGTTGTGATGAGTAAACAAGAAAGCTGGAGGTTTTTTTTCCCAGTTGAGTTATCATGGTCCAACATTTGCAACTTTACATACATATGCCTAAAAATAAAGAAATTAGCATGTTCTATTACTCATTTGGCCTTTTATCTAACTATAATTGTTTCTTAATATAGTTTTCCTCAAATGAAATTAATGTATTTTTTATTCTTTATGCTTAATATAAACAAAGGTGCTGACGCATCATGCAATAGGCATGCCGGGAAATTATCTATGTAGTTTTTCTTGAATGTGTAGGTTGCTGCTGGACAGACTCCACCTTGACGCCCACTTGCGATACTACTAATGTGAAGAGAAAAAAAAACATATTTTACTTTCACTGAAAAAGCCAGATAAATTGCCCCATGATGAGAAACTGAGAGAAAGCCCTGGAGGGATTTAAAAGGATTGTAAAGAAACTATTCATATTCTTTAAAGAGTAATGGCATATTTCATATATGCTTAATATGTTTTATCTTCCTTTACGTATGTATATGGTTTTTTATTCTTTATTTTTGTGGTGCAAATGTTTAACATGAGCTCTTGCCATACCCCAACAACATGTACAAGTTTGGTAAAATACATACATGAACAAGTATAAGGCATTGAAGGTTACTGCACACATTTTTTAGTTAGTTGCTAGGTCACAAGGTAGTCAAACATGTCTAAAGTACATAGTAAAACATAATATGTGGTCAATGTGAGTGATGTGGACATGTGAGTGGTTATATGAATATGAGTGTTAAAACAAGCAGATGAGACATGAGTGTAGAAAAAGTGATATACACTATTAGATTTTTAGGCAGGCAGGTGTGTTAGTGTAAGATTAAATGGGGACAGGCTACCTGAACACATGGGTGTAGTAAGGGGTTATTATATCATAGGATTGTTAAGATAAAATAAAATTGTGATCATGCTGGATCTAGATAAGGAACTTTAAATAAGATATCACCCTGGCTGATCTAAGTTACCTGAGCTGATTAACCGTCAACATGGCGGGCATGAGTCCTCGCAGAAGGGAGCAGACTTGTGGTTAGCCAATGTCTGATCTGCCGTATCTGTGCAACAGGGAGCGAGTGTCCGCCAAGGTAGTGATCTGGGCAAACTCCATCAAGGCTTGTCGCTTGACTTCTCGCTGGATTCCCCTGGGTCGCAGCCGTGCCAGGTTGGTGCTGTCAAATCTGAGCGTTAGGAGGCTAGTGTCAGCCAAGGCAGGTAGCTGGACGGAGTCCAGTAAAGCTTGCAGCTGGATTCTGCGCTTAATTCTATGGGGGCCGCCGCAATTCAAGATGGGTGTAAGGTGAGTGTAAGGTCGGCCCAGTTGCTGGAGTACCTTGCTTGGCTGCCTGATCGGTTGTCACTGGCGGGAATGGTCGATGTGTGGCATTCTGTCCCTTCGGTGCAGCAGCTGTTGTCAATTTGGCTGGATTTCCCTCTCTGCTCACCGTTGGCATGGGTTGCTGAGGGAACGGATCAGAGATCTTCTGTTTGGCTGTGATGCTGAGCAGGAGGACGGCAAACAAATCGAGCTTGTGTCTGGAAGCCGCGCAGATAGCTGTGAGAGCGGGGGGAGAGCAGTCTTTCCGTCTGACTTTGGTGCACATGGTGTCCGCAATATTAGATGCAGCCCCTGGGCGGCAATTCGAGGGGGTAGTGTTGTTGGGTCTTGGTTGCGTTGCAGCGGTCGGGGCCACAGGGTGAGGACCAGGATCAGCCCCACCGGTCCAAAGGGGCAGAACAGGGCCAGGTCCACGTGGGTCTGGGCCTTTGGTTGGGTACTGTTAGGCAGGATAGCGGGGCAAGGCCCCAACTGGGACGTCCAAAGTTTCTCCCCCTGGGGACTAAAACTCGAGGAGCTAGCCTCGCCCTGGGTCCAGTGTCCCCTTAGCACTAAGGACCATCGCTGTCTGTCTGCATTTAGGTCGAATATCATGTTTTAAAGGCTTAGCGATTGATAAGTTGCAGGAGCTGATCTCACTTGCGACCGTCCAGCTCGACGGTCCGGTCCCGCCCCGTAATCTTTTTTATTAGTTGATTTTTACAAGTTTTTTAAAGATTCACTGAAAAAACTATTTGACAATAAATATTGCCACAGACAGCTAAGTGTATGAGTAGCATATTGATAAACAGGTGTAGATTAAATAGGATGAGAAAACAGTTTTATAAATCATGTATTTTAAACAAACTATGCAATTTGAATGTGCTACAGTTTAGAGTTAGTGAACTAATCCCCATAATTAGGAAGGTTCATTGCACACTGGTAAAGATAGATTACTATAATAAATAAATATGCATACCTGTTTTGTAAGTTTACACATGCTTTCAATTTATCTATACATTGTTTGTTGTCTTACTCTTCACATTAGTCTTGTATTTCATACCTATGCCATCTTTAACAAAGTCTTACCCAAAAAAGTTATGCCAGTCTGTGGTTGGACTTTGACCTAGCTAGTGGTGGGTTGTCTGGGCAGTCACTATGGTCCACAGAACAAAAGAGCATTGTGCTAGGATAACCTTCCAAACTCCAGATGTTGTAGACCAGTGGTGTTCAACCGGTGGTCCGTGGACCATCACTTGTCCGCAAGAATGTATTGCCGGTTTGCAAAGCTTTCTCCCAACTATACTGCTACAGTGTAGTGGTATAGTCGGATGAAAGCTTTTGCAGACTGGCAATATATTGCCGCAAAATATTTCCCTGGTGCTATGATCATATGATCATAGCACCAGGAACTGTGCCTCCCTCTCTCCTGCCAGCTCTGCAGGACAGGAGGGGAGATCATAGATCTCTCTATTTCGGGCCGCTAGTAGTGTAATGAAGACCCAGGGGTGCTCTAACTTGCAGCTCCGCCGGGATCTCCTCTTGCGATCTCTGAGCGTTGCCGCAGTTACCATAGCAATGCTCCGAATCTCGTAAGAGTGAACTCTGACCACAGCCTGAGCTGCTAGAATTCACTCTCACCACTTGGACCACCAGGGCTTCCCCACATACCACCAGGGATTAGTACTGTCCCGCCTCCCAGGCAAAGGTAAGCAGGGAGGGGGGGGATATCAAAATTATTATTTTCATTATTAAAAAAATATATAATTTATTAATCTACCCTCCAACCCCACAGACTCACAATAATTCTCCCCCATACACACACACTGCCCCCCACACAAACTGCACCCTCACACACATACACACACACAAACTGCACTCCTCACACACTGCATCCCTCACACATACACTGCCCCCCATACACACACACTGCCCACCATTCACACACACTGTACCCCTCACACACACTGCATCCCTCTCACATACACTGCCCCACATACACACACTGCTACCATAAACACAAACTGCCCCCTATACACACACGCTGCCTCCATACCCTCACACAAAGTGCCACCCACACACACACTGCTATCAATACACACACAAACTGCACCCCTCACACACACACACACTGCATCCCTCACACATACCATTGTTTTTTTTTCTGGCTGACGCCGGTCCGCAAGATATTTCTCCTGTTTTTGCTGGGCCATGAGTGTTAAAAGGTTGCAGAACATTGTTGTAGACTACATCTTCCATTGTGCTCTTACAGCCATAATGCTGGCAAAGCATCAGGGTAGATATAGTTACCATACTCAAGTGCTAGCAGCTCTGTGAAGTTGGTCACATAGTGTTACGTGAATAGGATTTTAGTGTTGTCAAGTTTGAAAGATGTGGCTTTCTACTCCATGATGGACTCTCATGAGTAGGCAATTAGGATCTATTAGCAATGAAAGATCTGCAGTATCCAGAATATCCTAAGAATTCTCTCCCTTCAAAAGAAACATCATCCCTTCTACCCTTCAATTGTGATGTATGTCAGTTGTAGAATCTTTGTAACTATCTGCCCATTCTCACATTCATTCTGCAACTCAATGTTTGAATAATATGCCCTTAAGGCTTTATTGAAAAGAGGCTTGTCAGTAGGGCTTCTAATAAAAACTCCTTCACTACAAGATTAAGAGCTGCGCATGGTAGCCCCCAACTCTTTAATGATTGTGTCAGGTGGTTGGGAGCTGTACTGTGATGAGCTAAGAGGTACTATAGTTATTGGCACCACTGCACACTTCATTGATTTTAAGTGGTCACGGTGGTAAGAGTCTGTATGTGCAGAAACACTGTACATACTGAGATATTAGCTTTGTGTCGATGGGTAGTTAAACCCCAGGCACATGTGACTTTGGCAGGCCAGAGCTCTGTTCCGGGCCACCTAATGTCAATTAGGTGCATATTTTATATCTGGATCTGGCAACAAATGTAAAGATCTCTCCAGCAGGCTCTCAGCCTAGATGGGCAGCGGGTATGAGGGACAGAGGCTCGAGATCAAGTGTGTGTATATAGTGGATGCAGTGTGTGTGTGTAGTGGAAGAAGTGTGTGTGTATAGAGGATGTAGTGTGTAGTGTATGTAGTCTGTGTGTGCATAGTGTATGCAGTGTCTGTGTTAGTGTAGTGCATACAGTGTTTTGTTTGTGTTGTAGTGGGTTTGCAGTGATAAGTAAAATTGTGGGGGTGAGCAGTTATTTTTTGTTATTTGTAACTTATTCATCCCCTCCCTGCCTCTTACCTATGGGCAGGGAGGGTGATACATGATTCCCTGTTGGTCCAGTGTACAATGAAGAGGGGGCCCTGAAAGTAATCCTACACCTCCAGTAGCAGCAGGTACTCTTCTCTTGCGAGCTGCAAGAGCGTTGCCGTGGGCAACCTGTGGCAATGCTCTCGTGGCTCGCCGTCTAAACAAGTTTTCCTTCAGTGGTCCCTGGATCCTTCAAACGGTATCAGATTTCCACATAGATTTCATGTCCGACCTATTTCAAGAAAGACCACCCATTCCTCTACGAATGAGTCAAGCCAAAGAGGCGACATTCCGAACACTGCAAACTCAGAGTCAAAGGAGCCATCAAACCCTCCACTGGCCCCCCAACATTTATCACCAATGTATTCTTGGTCAAGAAAAAGACCAGAGAATTTCGGCCGGTTATCAACTTACGAGATTTAAACCCATCTGTCGTTTATCAACACTTCCAGATGGAAGGGATACACCTTCTATGCAACCTACTCTGTGAGGGAGACTGGTTCTCCTGCTTCGACCTCAAGGATGCATACCTCACAATTCTAATTGCCGATTCTCATCGAGGTTACCTTCAATTCCTCTGGCATCACGAACTTTGAGCCTCCCATTCAGGCTCTCATCCACTCCATGGTGTTTACCAAAATTCATGAAACCGGTTATGGCCCTCCTGTGATCTCAGGGTGTCAGGTCCATCATCTATCTGGACGATATTCTCATTATGGCTCAGGACCCACATACCTTCTATCTAAACACGGAAATGACCACCGCACTCCTACAGAATCTAGGATTCCTAATAAACTTCAAGAAGTCTTTTCTTCTCCCATCACAGACCATACAATTCCTGTGTTTTCAGATAGACTCTATTCAGTCTGTTCTCCAGCTCCCGCTCTCCAAAATAAAAACAATAAAGAAGGACATTCTGAGACTCCTAAGTTCTCCTCGCATTCACCATCGCGACTTGACAAGAGTTATAGGTCTACTGTCAGCCTCAATTCAGGTCATCTTCCCAGCACCACTACACTACAGGGCGATACAACGCCTCAAAACTTTCCACCTCTAGAGGTCCACATCATACGATCAACTGATCTCCCTGACCGAAGATGTCAGACTGGAACTGGATTGGTGGCACCACAACATGGAGGCTTGGGATGAGAGAGCCATATTCGGCTTGCAACTGGATTTCATCCTGGAATCAGATGCCAGTCTCGCAGGTTTGGGAGCGACTTGCTCCAATATATTCACCGGAGGATTTTGGACACCATCTGTACGCAGCTTTGCAAAGGATGCCTACAATTGCTCCCTGATTCTACGGATGGACAATGTATCTGTTGTCCGCTACGTAAATTGATTAGGAGGTTCCCGCTCCAAACTCCTTTCTGATTTGACAAAAGAACTCTATCAATTTTGTTTGACCAGGAACATTTTCCTTCGTGCAGAATATCTCCCAGGCCCGGACAACCTAATGGCAGCCTGGTTCTCCTGCCACTGGAGGAATGCCAGCAATTGGCAGTTAGACCCGGAGGCATTCCAACTTCTGCAACAAGTTCGTGGTACTCTACACTTGAATCTCTTTGCTTCCCGATTGCATCGCAGACCGAGGAGTTTTACAGCTGGCTTACGGACCCAGCATGTCAAGCTTTCAACGCTTTTCTCCAAATATTGCCTCACTGGGAGGCTTATGCCTTTCTCCCCTTTTATCTCATTCCTCGGACCCTGCAGAAACTCAGAGTTCTTGGTGGTACTAATTACTCCTCTGTGGAGAGCACAGCCCTGGTACTCCACGCTCCTGGAATTGTCGGTGGATTATCCCCTGCTCCTTCCTCAGTCTCCAGATCTCCTTCGAAGTCCAACAGGTGAATTCAATTTGCTGGTCATTCAAGATCATCTACATTTGGTAACTTGTATCGTTTTAGGGGATCTTGGAGTATGTCAGGACTTTTGACTACTGCTAAAGGATTATTATGGGACTCATGGGCTCCCGAAACTCCACGCTCCTACCTCTCTGCCTGGCAGATCTGGAATAGCTGGTGTGTGGAAAGGGATATTGATCCCTTTTCAGCACCTATAGTTTCCATTATGAATTTCCTTTGACAAAGGTAAGTCCTACAGAACTATTAACCTCTTTCACTCCGGTACTTTGGCGGCACACATTCCTGTTGATGACTCTGCCGTGGGTAGACACCCATTGGTCTGCAGACTATTACATGGCATCAGACTGGCCAGACCTCTTGCACCTTGATATTCTCAGTTCTGGGACGTCTTGCTAATTTTTAGTTTTTTGGAAGCTTGGCCCTCTAATACCGACATCTCTTTGAGACAAATTTC